GACGAACGGTCGGAGTGGGTTTCCCGTTTTCGGGATAGTCAGAAGAGCCTAGGCCGTGTGATCCAAGAGGTTTATGCCATGCGCGATGCCCACTGGTCAGTCCCGGTTACCACAAGCGGAATCCCCTCGAGTCGTTCCACACCAGAGCCAGTCACCCCAGTGAAGCCCGACTCCAATCGATGGACCCTGGGGAATCCAATCAATGGGCGCCAGGTGGCCAAGATCCTCAAAGATGGCACACGCCTCTGCCAGGCGCTCCAACATGGCCAGTGCAAGGCCAAAGCCAACTGTGCCAATGGCCAGCACCGTTGTGGGTTGGTCCTGCGCAAAGAGCGCGCCTGTGGCGCCCCGGGGCACGGCGCTGCCGCCTGTCGGGGCGGGAAGAAGTGATGGGGCCCCGAGGGGGAGGATGGGACGGACTCCCCCTTAGGGGACATCGATGCTCCCCGTCCCTTGGTTGCTGACCTGTTCTGTGGGCCCAACCTGCCACTATCCAAGGCTTTCCTTTGGTGCGGGCGGCGCACCCTGTCAGTCGACTGGATGTTGGACAAGTCTCATGACCTTTCTAATCCACTACGCCAGCAGTCCCTACATGAGCAGCTCTCGGAGGTCGACTTCATACGCGCAGCTTTTGACTGCTCTACCAAGAGTCGAGCCAGGGAAATTCCTCGCCGGTTTGAGGACGGCCGCCCATGTCCAGCACCGTTGCGCTCTGAGGAACATCCAGATGGACTGCCGACTCTGCAGGGTCGTGACCTTCAGCGGGTTCGCACGGACAACCAGGCCTGCGAGTTCATCCTCGAGGAGATTCGTCTGCTCGCCGAGCGTGGCGGCGGGTCAGTCCGTGAGAATCCCTGGCGTAGCCTACATTGGTGGGGGTCCACCGAGCGCGCGATGATGGCCATGCACTGGCCGCTGGAAAGACAAGCGGTATGACGCATGCTGTCTGGGGGGAGCTCGTTGCAAGGCGCAGTGCTTGCGTCGCAACATTCATGAGATTGAGCAATGGCCGCCGCTTACCTGCCACCATTCTCATGCGCCACACGAATGGACTCCTTACCTTCAGGATGGCCAGACAATCTACCCATCCAAAGAGGAGGCCGAGTACACAGCTGTCTTGGCCTTTGCTATTGCGGTCGCAGCCTCGTGGTGGGGCTGCCGCAATTCGAGTGTGTCGGAGCCCGTGAACATTGGCTAGATCTGGATCCCCGGGCACTCAGGGAATGGGCGATGGCGCCGCTTGCCCTGGGCATTGGCTTGTATCCCCCAGATCCCAATGAGGCCGCCCGAGTCCCTCGTCGAGCTCAGGTAGATGACGTAGAAGGGCAAGTTGCCGCACGATCATGTCTACGTGGGCCAGGGACGTGGTTCGCATCGTCTTGCCAAAACCAAGTGGGCCTCCCCAGTCATTCCTGGGCTGAACAGTCAGGCTAATGATTGGTTGTGGTACTATGTTGCCTACCTCTACGAGTCCGGGCTGGTGACCCAACTGCAAGAGCTGCAAGGCAAAGTGCTGGTCTGCGACTGTCCTTTCTGCGACCCTTGTGAGGCTGATGTGCTTGCAGGCCTTTGTTTCGAGGCGAGCCATCCACAGGGCCGTCAGTCGATGCATCGCTTTAGTCGGGGGGGGGACCCCTCCAGCTCGCCAAGTTCTCCTAGCGAGTATGGCCAGCACGGTCCAGGGTATCCCAACGAGTCCGACACGTTGGTGGAGCCAAGAGGCCCTCGTTCTCGCCTTTCGCAAATTATATCCAGCTCACTTCTTCATGAACTTCCAGTTCCCCATGGTTGAGGACATCATCAACGCTGCCCCGTTCGATGCTTTCCCGGTGTGGCTGCACAATAGGCACTACGAGACTGATGGCCCCCTGGGCCCGCACCTGGCTGACGCCAACGTTCGCCAGACCCTCCGAACTGCCGAGGGCCAGCAAGTGGGCGCATTGAATCAGCGAGCAGCCCTACCCCCCTTGCTGTCTTATGATCTCAGTCCTGATGAACACTTCGCCCAAGCGCTGGCACGGGGTCGCGACTTGCTACCTACCGAGCTACCAGCCGTGCTGGACCTGGACCTGGCTTTTGCAGCCGATTGCCACACTCAGTACCGAGGTCGTCTCCGAGACCTTCGCCGTGCAGCCGTGGGAGCACTTCGAGAACTTCATCGGCGTTGGTGTGCAGTAGGACGCCATCTACGGCAGTTTCAACCTGTCGCCTTGCAGGCGACCACAGCCACCCGTGACCTCGGCTTTGTCGCGCTGTTGATCTTGCTGACGTCATGGCCTGATGTTACATACCCCTTTGGGCTCATCGAAGGCCTGCCGGCAGTCGGTTATGCACCCTGCTACGGCGTCTTTCCATCTCAGCCTGCCGAACGTATTACTCTTACAGAGGTCCTGGCCGGATGCGAAGCACACAACCATCAGATCTTGTCTACCCTCAAGCCGGGTAAAGATGACCTGTTCCTGTTGGAGCAGTCTACAAAGGACGCGGCACGAGGGTTCTGTACCCCTCCCTTGACGCTGGCACAGTTGCGTCAGCAGCTGCAGGGGCAGCCGTACCGCCTGATCCCACGCTGTGTGATCACACAGTCTTCAGGCAAGCAGCGGATCATCGACAACGCTGATGCAGGAGGGCAAACCTTACGCTCGGCCGATGCCAACAAGTTGGTGCTTTGCTCACCACTACGACCGGCTCAGCACATTAGCCAAGTCCTGCGCCAGATGAGCCCCTCCGAGCGAGCCCAGGCAGCCGCCACCGATACCTGGGAGACAGGTGGAGAAGACTGGCCGGATGCCTATCGCCACAGCCCAATGGGAGCCAACGAAACGCGGGGATGCGTTGTGACGTTTTGGCATCATGAATGGGCTGCTCCGGCTTTTCAAGTCTACGCCGGTCTACTATTTGGTCTTCCACTGGCCGTTACATCCTTCAATCGGTACAGCCGTCTTGTAGAGGCCCTGGGACGCCGCCTGTGCTATGTCCTGGTTTCGCTTTACTTCGATGATGCATCTATTCAGGACTGGTCTTCGAGCCGGGGTTCGGCTCAATGGGCATTTGGAGCCTTGAACCAGCTTCTGGGCACCCCTTTCGCAGCAGAGAAACGCCAGGCTATGCGCCCCAAGGGGTTGTTTCTAGGCCTTGACCATGACCTTTCGTCCGCACTATCTGGTGGCTTTGTCTCCTTTTGGGCGAGGGAACGCCTGGAAACCAAGTTGAAGGCCATTATCCATGAATGCCGTGCAACTCAAACTCTCAAGCCCGGTGTTGCAGCTAAGCTGTACGGACTGGCTAACTTCTTCGAGCAGGGCGTCTACGGCAGGATAGGATGTGGAGGTCTCCATGCCATTAAGGAGCGTCAGCTTGTCCGAGGTGATCAACTGACTCCAGCTATCGAACAATGCTTTCAAATCCTCGAAGCAGTGCTCTCTATCCATCCGGAGCGTGAACTTGATGTCTGGCCGAGACACCATGAGCGCTTTGTGGCAGCGTCTGACGCTGCGTTGGAGACCCCCGGTGAAGGGACAGGTGGTTTTCTCCTCGTCTTCTTCCACGAGGACACCGAGAGCCGGCTTGGATTTGTTTCCCATCTCCCACCGTCCATCTACGTTCTTTGGACCCCAGGAGAGGCTAAGATCGCACAACTAGAACTTTTGCAGGTCCTCATGGCATTGACTACCACACCTGAGCGATTTCGCAATCGCCGCGGCACATGGTACATAGACAACACCGCTGCCTTGATGGCGCTCATCAAGGGAAGGTCAGACAGCCCTGACCTCGAGCACATGAGTCATATGATTCACATTCTATTGTTTTCACTTAGATGTTGGATTTACTTTGAGTGGATCCCCTCCAAATCCAATTGGAGTGACGCCATTTCCCGTGAGGGACATGCGGATCGTTGGCACCACGACCAGGGTTTCACTAGTCGGGAAGCCACATTTTTCGAACCACTCTGGTATTTCCCCTTTTCCGTCGCTCTGCGAGTCGGTCTCTTTCTTTGAAGTGCGTTGGGAGAAATGCATTGGGTAGATACATCGCTATGGATACGTCTGGGTGGACGAGTCTCCATAGATGGGTATCTAAGCTTCATCCAGGAATGGATGTGTAGCTATGAACACTGCTCACAGTTTGTGAGTTTCCAACGCAACAACGTCAGGGCGACGTGCAGAGACCATAGCTGCAGAGAGTGTGAGCGAAAAAGGTGGAGAGAGTACGCAGAGTGAATTCTGGGAGGTACTCTGAACAGTAGTGATGTACACATGTAATGTGAAACTGTGTCGAGCTTTGGGCAGGTTTGGGTGCACAGTCTTCATTACATTTGGTACACTGTCCATTTTGGCTCAAGCCAAAAGTGGGACAGTGGAGTTTCTGTCCCACCCAGCCCACCCCTATGGCCGGGTCCACGTTGGTTCCCCCGCCTTGGGAGTCTCTTTTAAGGGCGACCTGTTGTCAGGTCTAGTGTTCATTCCAGGGAGGTTCCCTGGTTGGGTAGATACATCGCTATGGATACGTCTGGGTGGACGAGTCTCCATAGATGGGTATCTAAGCTTCATCCAGGAATGGATGTGTAGCTATGAACACTGCTCACAGTTTGTGAGTTTCCAACGCAACAACGTCAGGGCGACGTGCAGAGACCATAGCTGCAGAGAGTGTGAGCGAAAAAGGTGGAGAGAGTACGCAGAGTGAATTCTGGGAGGTACTCTGAACAGTAGTGATGTACACATGTAATGTTAATAAGTAATATTGTCAGACACTCACATGTTTTGCTACATCTTTTGGCAACTTAAATGTGCACATTCTTTTGTTTCAACAGTGGTGTGATGAGTTTGGATCACATTATAGACAATTTTTCCATTATACAGGAGTTTGCTGGTTGTTTCGATCACGCCTGCAACTCCGATTTTCAGTAGCTTCTATGTGATATGTGATATGTTGTTATCACTCATTCAATACAGACTGCCCGGGGTGCTTGCTGTTTTTCATTCAGAACTCAGTGAACTCAGGTCAATATGCTTCATGACATTTTTTTCTGATCATTTGCAGCTTGAACTAATTGGTTTTAGCTTGTTGCAACTCTTCATGGTTTCGTAATGAACTTTGTTCACCCAAGGAATGGAGTTGGCCGCAAAGGAAGTGAAGAAGCAATGCGCAAGATAGGTCTTCCGCTGTGAGCTCTCATTTCACCTGTCCATGCCATGTCAGCTTTGCATCTGGTTCTGTTTGCGAATGCGTAGTGGCCATTTGCAGGTGCTGAACCAGTGCTGGGCGAAGCGTTTGGATACCCAGAAGATTCTCCGATACAGACGCTTTGAGAGCTCAAGTTGCGTTTGGTGCAAGAAAATACTTTGGGTTCTCCAAAGTCTGAAGACAGCGTGCCATCCCATGACCTTCTGACTATTCGGAGCGCATGCCTCGGTGAAGGCCTGTTCGAACGAACTCAGCGGAGGCCCGGGTTCCATTTGCTGCTGACGTCAAGAACACCTTTTCGCTTTGGCAGGTTTCATCAGCACATTCGCTGAATGAGATGGACTGATGTTACGATACACCTCAGGAAAGATGGAAAGCCAGTTGTGGGCCAAAGGAGCCAAGATTGGCACCGCGTGCTTGCTTTGCAGCCAATCTAGAGCGGCCATGAAGGAAGTGAAGATTTCTCAGTGCTCCAAAGCAGAAAAGTCTTCGGGCTTTGACAAGTTGTTTGGAAAGACATGTCCCTGACATCTCCCTACAGGTTCCCTGTACCATTTCCGTTTTTTGCATTGTTGCATTGCACATGAAAGGTACTGACTATATATGGCTCAGAGTATGGGTGAATCTAGTTGCCCTCAACCTCCATGCAGCCATGCCTGACTCATAGCACCATGAAGTGTTTGCGAGGGACTTCAGTGGGCATGTTGTATTGGATTTGAGAAGTCGCCTGAGGCCAGTTGCCTTCATTACCGTTAAGCTGCCCAATGGCAGCCTTGTCCGAGATCTGAGACTGCAGGTTTTATTCTGTACATTCGTAAGTGCTGAACTGCCCTAAGGTTCACCTTGATGTTGACCTGAAGACCAGGATTGAGGACCCCCCTTTGCTTGCCATCCTCTTGCGCCTACTTGCTTCCAAAGCTTCCAAACTTCCTGACAGAGTTTGCTGAACAAAAGACATGGACGACGTATAGATTAAGTGAGGCTAATCACAACATCTTGAAGAGTTCGATAGACCTGCAACGCGTGCACAAAAAATCTCCAGAAAGGCAACAAACCCTGAAGAAGTTGGTGCCAAACGCAGATGTTTGGAAGAACATCATGTTTTCAGATTTTGTTCTGGACCCATTGTTCAGATACATTTTGCGCATCAGTCCAAAAGGGTCAGATGGTCAGATGCGCAGGAATTTCGATCTATTTTGGCCCCAAAGCCACCCGCCCAGCTATAGTATTAGTGTATGTGATGTGTAAGCATCACGGAGGTGTTCCTCAAGCTGCAACCCCCTAGGTGTGGCATCAAGCGACATCGGCAGCGCCTGGTCTTTGCTGGTCGCTTGCTTCAGGAGCTGACTGCATAGTCAACGCAGCATAGGGGCGTGTGATGGCGGTTGACTGTACATTAAGAGTGGAACACTTGCAGCTTTGCAGGATGGGCGTACATTGGAAGCGTATGGCGTAGACAGGAACAGCACCATTCACTTGTGCGCAGCCCAAGATTGGTACAACTCTCTAATACAGCCTTTCTATGCATCAATGCACAGATTCAACAAATCTCTATATATATATATAAGTATAAACAACAAATAACTGCGCAAACTCAAAACACACCTTATGCATTTGTGCATTTGTGACTTTTCTGTGCCTTTTTCTCATTTGACAAACTGTTTCAAGGCTCCATGGACAACAGGGCGGTGCTGATGTCGGACTCTTACCGAGTTTCCAACAGCACTCAGCGGAAGTCTCCACAACTGTTTTTCTTAAAAGCCGTGGCCCTGCCTCCCTAATTAAGTATATGGGCATACTTAATTAAGTAAGGGAACAAGCTTCTAGTAACTGGACGCAGGACAGCTCACGCTTCTTCAAGGAAGCTCCCCATGCCTGATGGCCTGGGTGAGCTACCTTGAAGAAGCGCTTGTACCAATGATTTGGTTCCTAGATTTTATGGTTTCGTGCTGTTCATGCTTCCAACATTCCACAGAGAGCTGCAAACAGAGATGTGGCAGGGGCCTGGTGGTGTCGACATCAGCCAGATGCCGCCACAATTGGCAGCGCTTCAGCTCGGACCCCAACAGAGGTAGTGTAAGTACAGAAGAGCCGGCCACCCTGATAGTGGATTGCAAGAGGTAACGTTGGCAATGCACTGTAGAACAACCAAGTTGACCTTGAATCTTGCACTGCTTGGAGGAGACATGTCCTCCAGAATCCAGATATTCTGCAGCAGATGCTTGAGGATGCCGAATTCATTTAGCCATGCGCACTGTGCATCTTTGTGTTAACTCGCAACACATGCAAACATGTGTTCTGCCAGTCCCCAGCCATGCAAAGTTTGCTGAACGACCACGACTTCATGCGCAGCTTGCTCAAGATGGACCCGCGGCTCTCAAAGGCCATAGAGTGTAGGTTTGTCACTCTTACGAAGAAAACTGAACAAAACGAATGCATTCCACCAGAAAATGAAACTCAAACTGAACTGGATGCAAAAAGACTTAGACTGTGACTGAACCTTTACATCCTGACTCCACTGGCCAGCTCCTCGAGACCTGCCCAGAGCTGAACCTGATGCTACATGATCCTGAGGTCATGAAGCAGGACGGATGAAAAACATATGAAAAATAGAGAAGAGAAGGAAAAGAGCAAGAAAACGAACAAGAGGAAGACGAGGAAAACAGAGATAAAGTCATATGGATTCGACCTGGACTGAAATACATGCAAGCTGGAAAGAGGAGCTAGGCTAATTTAGCGGTATATTGTCTCAAACATAAGCATGGAAGGCTACTGAAGCCTTGCGCAACCCCGTTCATGTCCGCAGTGACCTCAACTTTTCATGAGACCTTCTCCCGTGTGTCTTTTCATGCTTTGCAGTTTACATCGGCCCCTAGGTGATGTGATCCGTAGCACAGATCGTTCAGTGTCACAGCTGGAGGCACTGGCACTGTCACTCTCTTTCGAACAGTTGGAAGATATTGTCATTCTCTTACCTACTGGACGACAAGGGTTCCAAAAGTCCCCAAGCTCAGAGAAGTGCCACATGGAGGTTTGTTGCGGAGACGCTTGTGTAGTCTTGAGAAAGCGTGACGAAAACGAAGGTGAGCGGCCTGCGACATCAAGATCCATCCAATGTTCCTTTCTAGGCTGCATATCCTCTCCAACATCAGTAGCTTGTTGGCGGCGGACTGATGAAAAGAGCCTCGATTGCTAGCTTGAACTGGGAGGGCGTGAGCGACAGAGACCAAAAGTATCCAAAAGTGGTCTTCATTTGAAGGAATGCCCAAGGCAAAGGGGATGATGCAGATTTACACCAAAAGCACCGTGAGAAGCAAAAACAAGATTTAGACTGAAAAAGCAGAACACAAGTGAGCATGATAGTGTTGGGCATAAATGAAGACTGGGCCTGGGCCGGTCCTGTGTCGCACTCACGATCCACTTCAAATCTCAGAAGTTTCGCTTTCAGGCAGTAGCAATGCCCTTTGCTCCTAGTAGCTTCTTGTTACTACTAGTAAGGCACTTGTTACTAGTAGCGATGCACTTGTTACTAGTTAGCAAAAAGACCAGTTCCTTCTGCCGTACTTGCACGAGCCACTCTCGTCACCTCAGAAACATCCTGCCTGTGCTCGCCGTTCTAATTGGTTCCCTCCATCTGTGGTCCACTCTCAGCTGAATTTGAACAAACAACGAACAAAGAAAATGTCACGGCCGGCTGAGTCGGCTGGACACTTTCAGCGTAAAAGCGTGCAACTTCAAGCACAGAGAAAGTAAGGCCTAAAGAGACGAGAGAAAAAGGAAAAAGAACCCTGAAGCGAGGCCAATGACCGGGATGGAGACATCCAGAAATTGCCCGTGATGCATGGTGAAAAACATGATATATGAGGAACTACAGTGAAAGCCCCGGAGCTCGCACTGAAGAATTCGGTCACGAGAAATCAGTTACCAAAAGGTCGGTGCTGAAAAAAAGCGGTTTGTTGCGTGTCATCACATTTATGTCAATGTATTCCAAGGCAATGTTGAGGTTCGTAGGGTAGCTGGTTGGACCAAACATACTCAGGAGTCTTGATGCTGATGCGGTGTTGAGAAAGTGACGTAATCCAGTATCAAGTTCTCGGCAAATGCAAACTTCATTTTATCAGAAACCGTCTCGGTCTACAAGAGCCACAACAGACCGGGACTGATCAGGCCTCTCCAAACACCAACAAATTGGTTGAGTCTTGGCTCGGCCCCGGGCTAACCTGCCCATGTTTGCCCCTGCATCTCTTTGTGCTGTGATGACTCGACTGCATGGTGAGTTCTTGGCACTAAAGTCGTATTGAAATTCCTGATGCTGGCAGGGACTTGGAACGGGCTCCTTTGATGTTCTTAGGCGGGAGATCTTAAAGAGGCAGTTGGTGAATTGAAGAGTGATGTTGCTGAAGAGTTATGATGGGGTTTCTGCAGGCAGATGTGTGAGGATATCCGACGACCCATGCAGGTTTGCCATTTTGCATGTCCACTGTGGCAAACCAAAGTTTAAGTAAGCAGTTGCCAGGACGGAGAGTATGTTCGCTTGATTGCAGCTGCTGAAGCCCAAAAGAAGGAAGCAGAGAAGGACCTGTGTCCAGAACATTCTGAAGCAATACTGAGTGTTTGTTGAACTCGGGGGAACTATTTTCAGTCAAAGATTCAATTGGTGCTCTGACCAAAGGCTGAAAAGCTGAAAAACCAGCGGAGAATGCATGGAGCTGATGATGACGAAGATGAGCAAGATGCTCCAGGCTGGCTACAGGATTTATATAGCTCAACAGGATCTGATGTTCACTTGGTCTATGTTTGGGCTGCCTTCTGTCGGTATATAAGTGTAATTCTTTCTAAACTGTCAAAACAGAGTGTTTTTGGACCTTTGCCTTGGAGTGGCTGGATGCATTGGATGAACAAGGGCGAATGAGGCTGTGAGTGAAAGTAGGGCTGCGGCTACAGCAATCCTTTTCTTCAGAAGGCAGTGTGAGAGCCCAAGTGATTCACAGGTGAAGATCAAAGAGAAGGTGACAGCAACTCAGGGTGGAATCGTTGGTGTGATTTTGATGAGCTTTTTGCACTCAAAATAATATATTGGCTTTTGTACCAAGGAGTCGAAAGATGCATTCGATGAGGTGTGCAGACTTGCCTATTTGCCATTTGCGAATGAACTGGCTACCAATCTCACCATCTCACCACACAGGGGGCATTAGAATGTGCGCGGGAGGCGTTTTGCAGGGTTGTGGTGGGAGGTAATGCTAGGAATTCCTTCTATTCCAGGGTCCAGAAGCATAGAAACCATCGGGAAACGATCAACAAAGTTGTAAGTCCTGTACCCAAGGCCACTCCTTCCCCCCTCCTGAG